TGAATCAGTTACAAACACGATGTATGTGTGTGTGTCGTGTTCTCTAGCCAGCGGAAAGCTGCAGTAACCGCCTCTACCTCCATTCTTAAGCTGGATGTTGTGGTATCATATGCTAGGCTCTCCTGCACCAAACGTCGACCATTAACTTTTGCTAAAAAGCCCCAAGCACTTCTTTTGCTTCTTGACACTGAACCGTCTGTGTATGGTAACTGTCTATGGTGGGTAATGTTGTCAGCATCACGCCGGCTGCCTTTACTTCTCAGAATTGTTTCTGGTACCCACTCAAAGCTGGGTCGATGTGGGAGCAAAGATCAATTTTGAAAATAAAAGTCGGGCTTCCTTCAGGAACCGAACCCACGACCTTCCGATCCGCAGGCGAGCGTCTAGCCGCTAGACCACGGTGGCTACAATCATCATCATCAAGAGAAACTAAATTCAAAGAGGCAAACAAGGGAAATGACTGTGAATATCTACTGAGAGTCTGAGAGTTGTCTGTCCCTGGCATCTTCTATTTTGCCAACACGAGACTGTCTCATGTAAGAAATGAAATACATTTAATTTGAATATATGCTTGCTGATAACTGATACAAACATGTCTCTTCTTTTCTTTATTTAGGTATTTTCCCATTTGTACGACACCGTTCAGGCTTTTTTCTTATGTTCTGATCTTGTACCACGAAACGTTTCAACATAGTCCGAGAGGACTTATTTAGTTTAGTGATTTATGGACCCAGGACTGGTGAACTGCTGGATGGATCGTGCAGGAAATAAATCGCGAAACAGTATCCAATAAACATGTATTGATTGACTGTCACAGATACATCATAAGACAGAAGTAAAGATAGAAGGACATACTTACTGGGTAACTTTGAAAGATACTGTAAAGTAAGTAGCCACAATCAGAAGGTGAAAGTAAAGAATAGTTGTGATGTGCATGATTGATGAAAACTGTCACTGTATTCTTCTCCTTCTCTACACTATTAAAAAAAATAATATAAACAGACAATGTATTGATTGGCACTCATACAAAGATAGAAGGACACGCTAGACAACATAAAATTTAAAAACTATAGTTACTTGTTACCGTGCCGGAAATCAAATCTTAATCATAATCTGTCACCTCCAGATGGCGTGTGCGCCTTGCTATGGAAACAGGTGTACTAAGAACATGACCAGCTAGGCACCCTAAGTATCTATAATCTAAATCTTCATTGGCCATGTCTGTCCTGCAGCTCTCAAGGGTTCCCGCCTCTGTTTATTTCTCATTCTTTAGTTCTTCACCATTTGCAAGGTCTTTGGCATTGCTGTGTTTATTATGTATAGTATGACTTCAGCAAAGCACTTGGTACCGTACCAGGACATTTTTGTCAGATGACCAAACCATCCCATCTGTTGCTGTTTAAATAATGAAGTCGGTATCAGTATCATCTGATTCATCATGTCATCAGGGAAGGCTCACTCATGGGCCACTCAAACATCCAAGACCTACAACAGATTGCAACAAACCGCCATGCATGGAGAGTCATGACCTCTGCCCTATGTGCCACACTCGACGCAAGAGGAAAGACTAACTAATCAGTATCATAATGACTGGTTTTAGGCCTAGCTAGTCCTCATCTAATTTCTTCGTTTCTTTTATGTTGCTCCGTGTAATAGACTTGCCGATTGGATTCCATGTGGGGAGGGGGGAGTAGACCCGCTGTCCCTAACAAGCATGTCAAGTCATAAAAGTTGACTAATTCGGGGTTTCCTTCGAAGTCAGAAAACGTCTGCCTGAGAGGCAAGGAACCAGCAGTGTGCATACAAATAAGCCAGATCTGTAAAACGGATGTGCACGCAAAACTCAAGTTCTGAAAGAAGACCAAAGTCCAGAAGTGAATAAACAACAACTTTCTGCTGGAGTTTACAACCGGGAACAAAGAATAAGATCATAATGGTAATACTGTACATCACTTGCAAAATTGGGTCATTTCTTGAATGTGTATACTCCACGACCACAGCAGTCTCAAGTTGATGGCTGCTTTCTTTAAGTTGAGAGAATTGGCATCTAGCACATGAGGCATTTCCATGCGTGCTCCGTCTTCATCTTTAGCAGCCAATGCAGAATTCCAGTACAACTGGAACCAGTCGTACTCTGGTTACATATGATTTCTTGTTCACAAAGACGTTTAGTAAGCATTAGGTCTGAGCTAACATATGGAATGTTAGGACTGTGATACAGGCAACAGAGAAGATGTTCGAGCTGACCCAATTGTGCTATGTCCTCCGATACAGCAGCCATCTCCGTGTCTCCATGCTCAATGTACCCAGCAGGAGTTGACTAGCCTTACTTCTTTCTGTGCCCTGTAACTAGTTTTTGCAGGCTTGAATGTTAAATTAAGACAGAAGTGACATCACTGCACTCAGGATACTACTGTAAGCGTTTCATACCCATCTTCAGCAGCAAACGAAGAGTTACAATTTCGATGGCACCAATAACTGTCTGATTGTATAGCTGTCTCATCTACTCCTTGAATGCTGGGGGTCGGCCAGATTCCCTGGTAACTCCTCACAGCGCCATTCTCCTGACTAGACCATAATGATCTGCACTGTTCACAAAGGGCCCTTACAACATCTAGCTTGTCATGCATCACCACCAACTGGTGCAGAACCAGCCAGTCTATCTGCCTGTTTATTTTCCAACACACCTGCATAACCTGGAGAATGGCACTAACTACTGGGACCTCTAAAGCTGAGAAACAACCAGTTTTATGCGCCAAATGTTTGGCGACGTATACCAAACCTGGTATTCCACTCGCTTTGGGCGGAAGAGCGCACTGTGGAGGATACTAGCCTTATCCTAGGAAGAGGAAATGCAACCTGAAAACTTTATGTTGTCAGGTCAGGCCCTTAGCCTTGGCTGGCAGCTGGTCTAGGAGGGAAGCTCCGACAGATGGACGAACATAGCACTGCTCTTCTGATCCGGCAGTTTCTGCAACCTGCTTTGTTCCAAATGTATTGGTGTTACCTTTCCTTTGGAGTAAACAAGGTAGGCTGAGGAAAAGATCATAATGCATGGGCAACATATGGTCTCTAGAGTACTGCTTAGGCTTTGTGCTGTATAGAGGAAACACTTGCCCAAGCCTCCCTATAACACAGTGTATCACGATCGACCGGAAAGATGGTTAGGTGTCGATAACAAGATGATTGGACAAGGAAAAAGAAGGAGAATAAATAATAATAATTCACTGTATTTTATTGTTTATTTTTACAATAGATGCCTATTAAACATGGACTCTGAGCTGTACGACGTCGCAGCTGAAATCTTAAAAAGGTTACGGGCAAAAAGAGCCAGCTTGAAAACTTTGATTTATGCATCAAAATACAAGGTGTGTTTTCATTTTTGTTCACGTTTTCAATTTGTGCAGTTTTTAAATTTATATTTTTAATGCATAAATTACCCCATATATTAACATGAAAATCTACTAATACCCTTACGTCCTTTTTAGGACGTAATTTTTTGTTATTTGAGGCCCCACTCTGGCTTTTGCCAGGGGCCGCAATACAGGCAGGCCATAAATATGACCAATTGTCTGAACGCGGTTTCTGGGACCACTCCACGGTGATCCTCATCCACATGGTGGCACTTTGTGTCATCGGGTGTTTATCGCGTGTGTGATGTCCTAGTGGGGTAGAAAGTCAGTCAACATGAAAATCATGGCATATAAAACACTGATATCAGTTGCCCTATATTTATCTGGGAACAGGAAGTGCAACAACATAAAGCCTAACTTTGAATGTTGAATTAAAAATTGACATCACAGCACTAGAGACACCCGCAAATGCGCTCCGTCCCTATCTTCAGCAGCAAGCAAAGAGTTACAATTCCGATGGTACCAGTAACTGTCTGATTGTAGGTCTTTCTCACCTTTTCCTTGAGTGTCTAGCGTCAGCCAGATCCCCTTGTAACTCCTCACAGCGTCTTTCTCCAGGGTCCATACTGATCTCTTATGTTCCTCGGCACTGTTCACTCGCTCCCAAAGGACCCTCACAACATCCAGCTTGTCATATATCAGTTCACCACAAAGTGGTGCAAAACCGGCTAGTCTATCTGCCTGCTCATTTCCCAACACACTGGCATGATCTAGAGAAAACATCCAAAGGATGCTAACTACCTGCGACCGTTAAAGTGATGCTTGCCACTCTGCACAGAGCATGCCTGTCTCCACCTTTCTCAGCATGCTATGTGAGTCTGTTACAATGACTGCATGTTTATTTGAGAACTGTCTAACGACAATCTTTGAAAGCATCTGATTTAAAAATAGTAGAGAATGGAAACAGCATCTAGTCTGAGAAACTGAAATATTTTGATCATATCAAGTGTTAAATAGCTTTCACATATGGTGCCTAAGAAGAATACTTGACATTAAGTGGCAGAACAGTGTCACAAACATAGATGTATTGGAAAGAGCAGGTATTACAACAGTCTTTTCAATGCTCATTCTACAGAGGCTCAGGTGACTGCGAGAATGGCAGAGTCCCTAAGGACATCCTCTATGGTAAATTCAAGATGGGTAGAAGATGTCAAGAATGACCTCTGGTATGATATAAAGATGTGTGCAAACGGTACATGAATGATACAGGTATTGATGCGGACTCATGGAAACAAAATGTCATGGACCGTGTTGTGTGGAGGGAGCACATCAGGAAGGAAATGCGAATAAAGGAAGCAATGATTGCAGAAAGGACTAGAGCTGAGTGTCTGAAAAGAAACACACTAAACAGAAATGTCGACAGCACTGGTCCTGAAATCCCATGCTTTGATCGTGAAAGATTTCTTTACACGGGTGAGTCTTGCTAGTCATATTCGCCATCCGCATAGGCTGTGACTTCTGTGTCTGCTCATAGCGCAATATATAACACTGTCGTCTGGAAAGACGCCAATCATTAAGTGCTTCGGCGAACTGAAAAGAATAGTAACCAATAAAATAAAATAATTTCCTTGGTAAAACATATTGCAGAATGTCCGCCGACTGTTTGCTCTGGTCAGCGAGTGCAGTAAGCACCGAGAACTTGTTGAGGAAGTACTCACACAGATTGCTGACCACTCTGTGGTAACTGGTCTGGCAGGCGGGAGTTCGGAGCTGGCTGTGGTTCTACTGTATGAGTACCTGCTAGGGCACAAGTTTGGAAGGGATGTGGGGTTGAGGGTGAGTGTTTTCTTCCTTTTTTTTCCTCCCCCTTTAGGCTTGCTCTTGTTCTTGTTTTTCTTCTTCTTCTTGTTCTTCTTCTTCTTCTTCTAATTGTTTATTCTTTCTTTCTTTCTTCTTTTTTCTCTGTCTTCTTGTTTCTTATCCTTCACCGTTTGCATTTCCTTATATTGTCTCTCATGGTTATGCTTCGCAGGCAGATGAACTCTGAAGAAAACACACTTAGTCAACTGTTATAACATTCTTCTTCCTTCTTTCTTTTTTTTTCCTCTCTTTCTTTCTTTCTTCTTTTTCCATTCGGTCTTCTTGTTTCTTATCCTTCACCGTCTCCATTTCCTTATGTTGTCTCTCATGGTTATGCTTCGCAGGCAGATGAACTCTGAAGAAAACACACTTAGTCAACTCTTATAACTTCTTCTTCTTCGCGTTCACCAGCTGTAAACTCTGGCGGAAGGTTCTGGTTGCTCATCCACTACTGAACTGCAGTCCTGCTCCAGAAGCTGAGTGTTGCGTGTGCATCAGTTTTACAGATCTCATTCTCTTGAATACACACTGTTGGTTCCTTGCCTCTCCGGCAGATGCACTCCGACTTCAAAGGAAGCTCCCCAATTAGTCGACTCTTACGACATGCTTTTGGGGAGGCAGTGGGTCTATTCTTGTTTTCCCCACAATGGGGCCCCGGAACCCACACGGGGGGACTCTTATAACATTCTTCTTCTTCTTCTTCCTTCTTTCTTTTTTTTCCCTCTCTTTCTTTCTGTCTTCTTTTTCCATTCGGTCTTCTTGTTTCTTATCCTTCACCGTCTCCACTTCCTTATGTTGTCTCTCATGGTTATGCTTCGCAGGCAGATGAACTTGACTTTGAAGAAAACACACTTAGTCAATTTTTTTATCTTACTTGTTAGGGGGAAGGGGGCGGAACGGGCTGTGGGTCTTTTAAATTCCTCCCAAAAATGGGCCCCTGGAAAGGAAATCACACTGGGAACATAAGCTGCAGGTGGCTGCCCTGGATGGGTCTTCTGAGGGGCAACACAAGTAGTTGTAGGAATAAAAAGGGCAGCACACAAATAAGACTATCTATCTTTAGGATTCATCATCATCATACTGAACTGTCCCATAACCGGGACGACCTCTGACAGTCATGCCCCATAACTGCTTGGTTACATTTGTAATGCTTCTCTTTAGACTCCTGTACATGTTTCTCATTTTTCAACCACAGAAAATGGTTCAAGGATACAAGGATGAGATCGCGGGTGCCGTGGGGAAAGTTTTGCTGAAACATCAGGCGAAGACACTACAGGACATCGCTCGGAAAGTTACAGAGAAAACTTTGATACGTAAGTATCACTGTAGCTTTTGTAGGTCATTCAGTTGGTCTGTCTGTTTACCTGTCCCTTCCTTCTTCCTTCCTTTCCCCCGTCCATCCGTGCACATGTCCATCTTTTCTTCTTCTTCTCCTCCTCCTCTACATCTGCCTGCTGCTTTTTCTTCTGCCTTTTAATCCTGTGATAAAACGTAGAACCCTCTTGTGGGTTCCAGGGCCTCGTGGTGGGGGGGACAGACCCACCCCCCCACCCCCACAACAAGCAAGTCATGGGAGTCGTCTGATTAGGGATGTTTCCTTTGAAGTTGGAGAGCATTCGCCAGAGAGACGAGGAACCAACAGTCTGCGTACAAATAAGCCAGTCTGTAAAATGAATGTGCATGCAAAAATCAGGTTCTGGAACAAGGCCAGAGTCCAGAAGTACAGTCAGGACCTCCCCCTTCTCCAGGGTTTGCAATTAGGGGACAAAGAAGTACCCTAAGTTAACCCATGCCATGTCTTCCCATCCTTTGCTATCTTGTAAAACTTCTTGTAGGTATTCCTCTACTTATTCATCCTCCAGTTTTCTTCTCAATGTTTGCTTCATGTTATCAACTGCATTTCCAACGTCACAGCAAACGGGTCACCAGAAATTCAATATATGTACATATAATTGCAATATAATTATTTTACATAGTAAAAAAGGGTAAAGGACCCTTTTCCATGCCTTTATGTATAGAGCATATAGGGCTAGACCTATATTTATATAGACCAATCGGCACAAGATGGGTGATGTGGTCGGCATTACGCCGGCCGTCTTTACTTCGCCGGACTGCACCCGGTACCCACTCAAGGCTGGGTCGACCTGGGAGCCAAGGTCATTTTTGAAAATAGTCCGGCTCCGCCAGGAAGCAAACACATGACCATCTAGCAGCTTGGCCACGGGGACTCCCAATTATTTTACATAATGCGGTATAATTATTTTACATAATGCGATATAATTATTTTACATAATGCGATATAACTATTCTGTATAGTGTGAAAAACATATTTGTACTTCATTGCACCCAGTTCAGGAAATTTGTTTGACCCTACCAATGTAGTTATTTTTGTTTACTATTTTTATTTTTGTAAGTCGTAAGTCCAGGCGAAGATGTGTGTTTTAGTAACTATTAACTTGATTCTTTGTATTCCATGTAGACAACAATTAACGACTGTTTGTAGTGTATTACAAAGTGTTTTAGTAAACAAAAACATACATGTATCAAACTCTTGATTCAGGGATCCCTCGATACATGCGAGTCAATCTGATCAAGTCGAGCGTGGAAGATGTTGTCGAAAAACTTGTGGCCGAGGGGTGGAACTACGTGGGCAAACTGAACATTGATGAGTAAGATGTTCTTTGTTTACATCCTTATCTTCTGTTGTTGTTTTTTAAAACTTATCATGAACTCACCGACACAACAAGAGTTTCTTCTCTTCCCATTCATGCCGCAGGGGGTTATGTAGTCTGTACTGGGGGTGGGGGGGGGGGGTGTTAGTTTTGTTCTGCCTGTAAGAAGTACTGCAGGGGGAAACGCCGAAGGCACTGCTGTTCGTGTGTATTGAAACAGGGGTATTTTTGTATTTCTACCTTCTTTGGCAGTGGCGCCTCCCCCCCACCCCCCCCCCCCTTTTTTTTTTTTCCTCCAGAGGGAGAAAAAAAAATACTGATAAGAAACATAGGAATACAAAAACATTGCAGTTTCCGTAGTCCCGAAGCATCGGGCAAGTATCAAAACATGGAAATAATCACGCAGGTGAACAGTGACAACACGAGAAAAGAGACAGCGGTTAAACCGTTGAAAATAAGGAATACATGCAACCCCCACAACATACGACGGGCCATGCTACCTGCCACGGCATGAATAAGAAGGGAAGGTACTCTCATCGAGCGATCGGGTTTGTGATAAGTACATTTGTTTTTAAGACTGACTCTTCATGACCATGTTAGGCAGTTTTGAAACTTCCTACTTCACTCAAACACTTGCTGGACTGACAGGCATACATCTCCTGACTGGATCTTCATTTGCCGATGTTTCATTCCTTTATTTAGTTAGTTAGTTTTTCCTCTTAAGCCTAGGGCAGCGTGTAGGTCATAGCTCTCCATGTCTGGCGGTTTGTTGCCACCTGATTTAGGTCTTGGATGTTCATTAGGCCCGTGGTTGAGTCTTCCCTGATGATAGTTCTACGCAGGGTCTTTCTTGGTCTTTCCTGTTTGTTGTTTCCCTTTGCTGATCATAAGATGGATAACAGAATACTGCTCCTGTCTGGTGCATGTTATAAGTGGGGTAGCCTATCTTTAAACTGCTATTATTATGATGTCACTTAGTTCATCTTCTCCATGATGTCCAGTGCTTAACATTCTTGACATTCTTAACAACACTTTTGAAAAGTTACTAGACTGGCATGGTTATTTTAATGTTGATCACACATTTAAGGTTTTTGTGTCAGCTCCCTGGGTCTTTTCATTCGTTGTTCTAATTTCAGGGGCATGTCCGTCAGATGTCACAGTATACAACACGTAACATTTGATTTGTTTCCATTTGAATAATCCAGGTTTACAGAAACGGCCAGGTCTTTAGACAGGTGGCAGTTTGGACTTGATCCTCTACTTTTTGACCTGTTAGTATTTCCTGTGGGAACAGATCTTCACGACCATACGTTGACCAAGTCTGGGTTGTTGATTCAACAGGACAGGGTAGGCTGTTTGGTCTTATTTATTCCTCCTCTCGTCCTCCCTCTTCTTCTGATTCTGCTTCTTCTTGTTCTTCTTGTTGTTGTTGCTGTTCTTCTTCTCCTTCTCTTCCTCCTCCTTTTCTTGTTCTTCTGCATTTGCCCTTAAAAGGGCCGTTGGCCTGTTGTGGTTTACAGCCAGGATACGATATCTGTGCTTTTGGACTCATCACATCCAATTTCAGCTGATTTGTCACTTTTTACGAAATGCTTTTTTAAGGTGGGGGGGGGGGGGGGGGGGGGGGGGATTGTTTCTAATGAATGAATGAATGAATCAGGGACTGACACCATTGCACTTGGGACATTTACACACATGCTCTGCCCCTTCTTCAGTAATCGACACAGAGACGTCATTGCTAATAGTTCCAGTTGTAATCTGATTAAAAGTTTACCCCCTTCCCTTTCACTTTTGTTCCCTCCCCCCAGCATCACAATCCACATGGGGAGCATTTTGTTTTATTGGTGCAATTTGTGTGTTGTCTGTTTATGCATAATTGTTTCTCTTGTTAAAATGTTAAATTTGTAACGTCCATAATTCGTGGCCAGTTGAATGATTAATGACAAATTATTTGGAAGGGGCGAAGATCTGGTTTTATAGATGAATGATAAAAACACCCAGGACAGGTTTTAAGAAAAAAGAGTAATGAAGATGTCTTAAAAGAAACTGACTCAAGACGAGAACTAATTGCCCACATCAGAAAGAGAATCTACATTTTTTGGTTGTGTCGTGAGAAGGAGAACACTGGAGTATATCATGACAGTAGCAAAGTTGGAGGAGAGGCAGAGGAAGACAGAGAGCAGATGCTGAACAGTTTGACATCATGGAATGGAGGATCATCTGTGTCAGAACTGATTGAATGTACAGGAGACATGGCTTCAGATCAGATGACCACCAACTCTACATGGCATGTTCTGTAAGAAGATGATGTTGGTGACTGAGAGAAAGACAAGTTTAGAGAGAAACACAGACAGACCAAGAAATATAAATAGCACACAGAGATCAGTAGGCAGGCTGGGAGGAAAACAGGTAGACAGAGAAAACAAAAAATGGAAAGTTAAGAGTGAACATCCTAGCACTCAGGACATTCCCATAAGTGATCTGTCCCCATCTTTAGCAGCTAGCACAGAGTTCCAATTTGGAGAATATCATCATCATGTAGCAGGCCCTTTGCAGAACGTCGCTCTCATCACGGTCTGCCTGAAAGAAACCTCGGTCTCTCGCCAGCTCTCCCACCTCATGTACTTTCATACTCAAGGAGTCACTTATATCATGTGCCCATCTTCGTGTCAGTCGGCCCCTACCCCTCCTACCTGGTACCATACCTTCTGCTATAATTGTTTCCAATCTGGATGATACCAGTAGCAGTGAAACTGTATATTCGTCTTGCCTTCCCTCTGAGCGTTGAGTGTCACCCAGATGCCCTAGTCACTCCTGGCTGCACCAATATCTCCACACTGTAATAATCTGTTCCCACTTCT